AAGAAATATCCAATAGCACAATATTGCCCAATAGCAAGAAATTGTCAATTGTACAGTATTGCACAATAGCAAGAAATATTCAATTGCACAGTATTGTGCAAAAGAAGATACTTCGTATAAATTGCTTATTTCTTGACCAATTTCAATGGGGTTTTATTCTTGAATTCTTGGGGTTCTTTAATATGCTGATTCTAACCGTGTATTAAGTTTTTGGATTTTGGGCCCCGTTTTTAAATTGGTCCACATTGAGGTCCAAAGGGTCCAAAATTAAACTTTGTTTGATTTCATCAAAAATTGAATTATTGGGGTTCTTTGATATGCCGAATCTAACCGTGTATTTAGATTCTTAATTTTTGGTTCCGTTTTCAAATTGGTCTACATTAAGGTCCAAAGGGTCCAAAATTAAACTTAGTTTGATTTTAACAAAAATTGAATTCTTAGGGTTCTTTGATATGCTGAATCTAAACATGTATTTAGATTTTTGATTATGGGCCCAGTTTTCAAGTTGGTCCAAATCGAGGTCCAAAATTAAACTTTGTTTGATTTCAACAAAAATTGAATATATGGGGTTCTTTGATATGCTGAATCTAACCATGTATTTAGATTTTTGATTTTTGGGCCCCATTATCAACTTTGTCCACATTGAGGTCAAAAGGGTCCAAAATTAAACTTTGTTTGATTTCATCAAAAATTGAATTCTTGGGGTTCTTTGATATGCTGAATCTAACCATGTATTTAGATTTTGGATATTGGACCATAATAGGTGAATGTCCAATTTAAAATTTTTAAGTTCTTAGACCACATTCATTCTGTGTCAGAAACCTATGCTGTGTCAAATATTTAATCACAATCCAAATTCAGAGCTGTATCAAGCTTGAATGTTGTGTCCATACTTGCCCCAACTGTTCAGGGTTTGACCTCTGCAGTCGTATCAAGCTGCGCCCTGCGACGCATTTTATTACACATTGTGACTTGGATGGAGAGTTGTCTCATTGGCACTCATACCACATCTTCTTATTTCTATATTGTCTAAATTTCATAAAATTCCATGAAGGTTTGACCAAGATATTGATGACTGAAAAACTTTAAACTCAGACTAAATCTGAATGTAAACTGTAAAAAAAAACTAAGTCCATTTATTATTAGTAAAATATGCAAAAATGAAAATAAATGTTTTCAAAATTTTGCTCTGGATACAATATTTTAGTCATAAACATGCTTCTGTCCAAATTTCATAAAATTTCATGTATTTTTGTCAAAGTTATTGATGACTAAAAAAACTTTAACCACAGACTGAACCTTAATGTTGACGCAGCCGACAGTGGAATCTAGGATCGCTATGTCTCGCTCAACAAAAATGAAATATAACATTGAGATTATTTGCAACTGTTGCAAATGATTAACATCTATGTCTAATATACTGCATTTTTTTGTAGCAATAGAGATATAAATAGGATGCTTTTCTTGATGGTTAAGGTGCTGTTTGTATTGGGACTTCAAGTCCATTATATCAGTAAAATACAGAAAAATGAAAATAAACATTTTCAAAATTTTGCTCTGGATACTGTATTTGGTCATAAACAAGCTTCTATCCAAACTTCATAAAATTCTATGAAGGTTTGACCAAGTTATTGATGTCTGAAAAATATTTAACCACAGACTGAACCTAAATGTTGATGCTACCGATGCTGACAACGGGATCTAGGATCCCTATGTCTCGCTTTCGCGACATAAATGTTGCAAGTTCAACAAAAATGAGGAACACAAAGATTTCCATGACCTTTATTTCATTACAGTATGAATGTTCAGTATTGGGAAATAAAAATAATTAATTCACCAAACAATAACTTTGTAATATACCAAGGTACATATATCAGGGATCACCATGATATAAGCGTGGGGGTGAGCCACAATTAAATTCCTAGCGCCACTCTATACTTCCCAGCTCCACGCTTATTTTATTGTCTGCCTACTTGAAAATTTAATAAATTGAAATTAAGGATAAATTTCCCTTTTGTTATTTCAATGCTAAACATATGGAAATTTTATAAAAAAACCCACAGCCTTTACCCTTGTTGTATGTAGTCCTACATTTGATGTTTAATAGATTGAGGATTATTGCATGCAGTATGAATAAAAGAGAGATATGAAATACAAATGTAAATACAAATAATTTTATTGACTAATCACAGTGCCCATATTAGGGCAGAATAATTACATGTGTTAATGATAGAGCACCAATATCATAAAATCCAAAAATATGTTTTTCAAGGTCAGAATTAGGTGTTCATGATACATGTAAGTGTCCATATCATGTTTTCTGTCCTATATTTGTGTATAGAAAAGGTATTGCATCATACTACCTCACAGTTTTCAGGTGATTTATGTGTTAATTTGATGGATTACACACTGTTAAAGTACTTTAATTAACATCGGTTTTTTGAACATTATTTTACACATTGTACATATAGAGGGTGAGTTGACATTCAATATTTAGCAATTTTATCCAAATCTCAATTAGTTCTGCCATAAAAGTTAAAAAAAATATATCCATAAAAATGTTGCTGTACTATAAAGTGTAGTTTAAAGGACAAAATGAAGGATGTAGTTAAATTTTGAACGGAGAAATATGGAAAATTTGTCAAATATATTTGAAAAAAATGTTCTTTTTGCCTTTTGTTGATACTTGAATGATGCAATATCTTTTTCTTTTTGGGGGGAATTGGGAACAAAGCACATATATGAATTATGATCCGTCTGTTTGCAGTCCTTTTCTGAAGATGGATATAATATATTCCCCTTGATTGAATTCAGTAAAATGCTGGATGGATTTCATCGAGTTGGAATAGTTCTTAAAAGTCATGGAAATAAAGATAATTTTTTTAAGCCAGATAGGAAAAAGTTATAAAAGTACCTAAATACACATAAAAAACAATCTGAAATGAAGAAAAAACAGTTTTAGGAAAAGTGATGAAAGGGAGTGGCAAAACAAAACTAATACACAAAGTACAAAGATGCAAATAAGATGTCTATCTCTAATTTGAACATAAAAGATAAGCTGCACACATAGTATCTCAATATTTTGTAGTTCTAAATATTAGTCATACAGGCCATTTTTAGTCACCTTGAACAAAGTTGGAAGATTGATATTTTTGTCAAGCCTGCGACTTTTGTCGCAGAAAGCTCGACATAGGGATAGTGATCCGGTGGCGGTGGCTACGGCAGCGGCGGCGTTAGCTGACTTCTTAAAAGCTAGGTATTTTAGAAGGTGGAAGACCTGGATGCTTCATACTTTGTATATAGATGCCTTATGTTACGAAGTTTCCGTCTGTAACTCACATGTTTATTGTCCATGACCTCATTTTCATGGTTCAGTGACTACTTGGAAAAAAAGTTAAGTTTTTTTGTAATGTTAATTTCTCTCTTATAATAAGTAATAGGATAACTATATTTGGTATGTGTGTACCTTGCAAGGTCCTCATGCCCCTCAGACAGTTTTCACTTGACCTCGACCTCATTTTATGGATCAGTGAACAAGGTTAAGTTTTGGTGGTCAAGTCCATATCTCAGATACTAGAAGCAATAAGTCTAGCATATTTGATGTATGGAAGGACTGTAAGGTGTACATATCCAACTGGCAGGTGTCATCTGACCTTGACCTCATTTTCATGGTTCAGTGGTTATAGTTAAGTTTTTATGTTTTGGTCTGTTTTTCTTATACTGTATGCAATAGGTCTACTATATTTGGTGTATGGAATGATTGTAAGGTGTACATGTCTAGCTGGCAGGTGTCTTCTGACCTTGACCTCATTTTCATGGTTCAGTGGTCAATTTTAAATTTTTGAGTTTTGGTCTTTTTTTCTAATACTATATGCAATAGGTCAACTATATTTGGTGTATGGAAATATTTTATGATGTACATGTCAGTCTGGCTGGTTTTATTTGACCTTGACCTCATTTTCACGGTTCATAGCTCAGTGTTAAGTTTTTGTGTTTTGGTCTGTTTTTCTTAAACTATAAGCAATAGGTCAACTATATTTGTTTTATGGAAGAATTGTTAGCTGTACATGCCTGCCTGGCATGGTTCATCTGACCTTGACCTCAATGTTAAGTTTATGTGACAGTTGTAATAAAGCTTTATATTTAGGACTATATATCAACATAATATCAGTGATTATAGTAAAGAAGGCGAGACATTTCAGCGTGTGCACTCTTGTCTTGGTTAAGTCTGTATCTTAGAAACTATAAGCAATAGGTCAACTATATTTAGTGTATGGAATGATTGTAAGGTGTACATGTATTCCTTGTTTGGTTTATATGACCTTGACCTCATTTTCTTGGATCATGTTAAGTTTATGTGATAGTTGTAGTAAAGCTTTATATTTCGAACTATCAACATAATATCAATGATTAGTAAAGAAGGCGAGACATTTCAGCGTGTGCACTCTTGTTATATATCTGTGTCATTTATGTCTGCATGCACATGTTTGTCCAAATTAATTTTTCAGAAACTAATAAACAGAACCATTTGTACAACATGTTGTAGGAAAATGTGCCACAAGATAAAGGTCACATGACTTCTATTTCTCAATTAAGTGACTGTGTGAATATTTTATCACTTCTTTACTTATACTTGAATAAAAAAAAGGATGGGGGGGGGGGGGGTATACATTAATGAGACAGCAACCCAACAACACTAAAAACTAAAAAAGCTTATGGGTAAATTAAGTTTTACTTCTGATTAAGTTCTTAGATACAATGTAAAACGTGACCTACTATTGTATAACGTGGTGTAAGATTGTATCTTGGGAAATATAGTGGATTCCCCTAAAAAGATCATTCTGACCAATAGTTGACACTCCATTGACAACTATGAAATCGTGATGAATTAAAAACCACATAAGCAAATTATATTTTCAAAATAAACAAAAATTGAGATCCACATAGGAAAATACTTCAGCACTATTTAAAGACAAGGTAAATTTTCTTGTTATTTTCAGTTATCTGGTAGTGATGTTTTGTCTGAACTGTATAATCCGTTCTCAGATGCTACAGTAAAAGAATCAGATTTATATCAGGATAGCTACAAAGCTTACATGGATAATTACTGGCCAGATATCACTGCTAAATTTGGTATCAAAGCAACTAAAGATATGGCTCAAAGTAAAGAAATAAATCATCAGTCTCAAAGGGATGCAACAAATATATTTCCTGGAATGTACACGGAAGGCGATGAAAAGAGGAAAAATGTAGTTCCTCAATCTAATGGGGTCCAAAGTAGTTCTGAAGAAAAAGAGTCAGAAAAGATGTTAAAGGAAAAGGTTAAAGGTGAAGGAAACTTTCCCAGGACTGGAATAGGTAGTCATGGAAGTAGTAACATTTCTATGTTAGTAAGATTAGGGTTAGCAGAGAAAAATGAAAGAGGACAGTTTAAAAATCTTCAAAAAGACCCAGAAGAGGACCTAGATTTGAATTTTAATATGGATACTTTTGACTTAGAAAATGATGACAGCTCCAGTGATGGATCTAGTCTATCACAGAGCGGATCGGCAGAAACTATGACAGCTGAACTGAAGAATATGTTGGGAATATCTAAAGAGGAAAAGAAAGAACCGTCAATGTTAGAATCAGCTGCTAGAGAATTAGAGAGATTAAATGCTCTATCTCCTAATGCTAAAGAATTTATTCCTAGATCTACAAATGTGCAATGTAATACCTCAGATTCAAAGCCATTTGATGCTTTTCCTAAATTTCTAACTCCTAAGGCAGCTTTACCTACTCAGCAGAGAACTATTCCTCCTTACGCAATGTTTCCACCCCAGCAGCAAGGTCAGCACCCACAGATAAGACCAGTACCCATGTTCCCAGTGCCTCGACACATTCCGTTTAATCCACAAATACCAGTTGTACCAGTGACTTTAGTTGGTGTTCGGAATGTGCCACCTCAACCCCCTCCACCAATGAACATCATGCCACAGACAAGCCAAGTTGGACCAGTAATACAAACAACAAACATGATGCACCATCCATCATCAACTTTAAGGCCTCCTCCTGGCCTTTTACCAATATCTTCACCTACACGAAACATATTACATCATCCAATGTCATCCCCGTCACCACCCATTTTACCGTATGCCTCTGCTTTTCCATCACCTACGGCGCAGCAACTTGCCAGTGAAGCTCAGCAATATGCAACAATCGCTGCTCAGCAGATGAAAAAGAACGTTCAGGCTCAAAGTAAGGAATCCTCTCCGTCTCCAGAGAGATCACTAGATCTCTGTTCACAGAAGGTCAAGGACAAGATAATAAGTGGTGTTAGAGTTTTAATTATCTTGAGAGGTTTGCCTGGCAGTGGGAAGTCAACACTAGCAAGGTGAGATTTTTCATCCTGAAAAGTTCTGGCAAGGTTAAATTGTTTACAATAACATCCTGAGAAGTTTAACTCTGGCAAGGTAATAGTTACTACCGTCCTGTGAAATTTACCTGGCAGGGGAAATTAAACTTTACCACGGTAATAGTCGCTATCATCCAGAGAAATTTAACTGGCAGGGGAAATTAAACTTTACCAAGGTAATAGTCGCTATCATCTGGAGAAATTTACCTGGCAGGTAGCACATACATTTTTTAAAAAACATCTTTGCGACCAAAATGTTAACATCTGTTTGGAAATTTTTGAATAGAATAGATCCTAGTTATTATTTATGTATAATGTATATAGCATATGAATGAAATGATAACCTCAAAAGTAAACCAAATGAATTATTTACATATCCCTTTATAGGAGCACAGCCATAAGAAATGGTGTAAAAGGAGGATCATTTAACACACTATCAACACCATTTTTATGCCCCCGTTGTAGCAGAGGGGGCATTAAGTTTTAGCCTTGTCCGTCCGTTCGTATGTACGTACGTACATCCCTTACATCCCAAAATTGGTTTCCGTGCTCTAACTTTAGTTTGCCTCAAACAAATGTTATGAAACTTATACACAATGCTAATAACCACAAAACACAGATCACGTTTGAATTTTGGTGGTGTCACTTTTACTGTTCTAGAGTTATGCCCCTTTACAAATGGAAAAATTGCTGAATATTTGGTTTCCGTGCTCTAACTTAAGTTTGCCTCAAACAAATGTTATGAAACTTATACACAATGCTAATTATCACAAAACACAGATCAAGTTTGAATTTTGGTGGTGTCACTTTTACCGTTCTAGAGTTATTTTTTAAAACTACTGAGTATTCCAGCATGGCAATGATGACTGTTACTACCAGAAAGATGATCTGCCCCAAACATGAATAAGTGCAATGCAATGAAATATCCACATACACTCATCTGAAGTACTCATCCTCCAAATATAAAATAGTTCTAAAGTACAAAACAGTGCAAAAAAGAAATTTCTGAAACAACAAAAAAAATTCATGATATGTAATGATATAACATTTATTCCAGAGATTTCAATTTTACGCTTTTATTGCAGGGAGCTGAAAGGAAACGGAGATATATTTTCTGCAGATGATTATTTTATGAATGGAGATGTATATTGTTATGATCAGAGGAAGTTGACAGATGCTCATGATCATTGTAGGAGAAAAGGTAAATCTCACATAAACTCATTATTATTGTAGGAAGTAAGTTCTAAAAGTAGTAATCAAATACAATTAGATACAGAGGCTCGTGAGCATTGTAATAAAAAGATACAGATCATATATTACAGATGATATATGATCAAGTACAGAGGTTTACATTCAGTTTTACAGTAAAAATAAGAATCAATTACAGAATCTGATCTCCAAGGTACAAAGAAAGGAAGAAATCAAATTTGTTTAAATAAAAAAAATGGGAGTGGATCTATTTTATATGTAAAATCAGTGCCATAATCAGCTGTTATAAGTAAATAATTTAGGTTACAACTTAAGTGACTCTCTTGAAATAATATGCAAATTTGTAAAATCTTAACCTGGAAAAAAAACTAATAAAATTGATGTGTGTTTACTTCCTTCAACGAACAACAATACATGGTCTTTGTCTATTTGAATACAACATTTTTTTTACAATGAATAGATATAGGAAGATGTGGTATGAGTGCCAATGAGACAACTCTCCATCCAAGTTACAATTTATAAAAGTAAACTATTATAGGTCAAGGTACGGCCTTCAACACGGAGCATTGGCTCACACCGAACAGCAAGCTATAAAGGGCCCCAAAAAATTACTAGTGTAAAACCATTCAAACGGAAAAACCAACAGTCTAATCTATATAAAAACGAGAAACGAGAAACACGTATGAACTACATAAACAGACGACAACTACTGTAATCAGATTCCTGACTTAGGACAGGTGCAAACATTTGCAGCGGGATTAAACGTTTTAATGGTACCAAACCTTCTCCCTTTTCTGAAACAATAGTATAACATCACAACATAGAAAAACACACTATAAAATATCAATTGGAAGGCTTAACTCAATCAAAAAACGTAAGTTAACACACAATGAATGAATAAATTTGAAGAATGAACCCCAATTTTAATAAAAAAAATTAATAAAAATTGGTTACTTTTGAATTATATTATTTTCAATGCCTCGCTTTAGAAAAAAATGCATTCATCTTCAGTATCAGAAATCAATAAGCAGTCTTGAAATAGAATACCTATGTTTTAACATAAATCCACCTAAAAACAAGCATCTACAGGTTAATTTTGGGATGGAAAGATCTTAGTTTCAAGTCTGTTTATCTATTGGTCCACACTGTTATACTGAGGAACTACAAACATATTCTTTTTATTGGAATCTTTCATTTGGTCATTTTGTTTCAGAAAAAGTAAACTTGCAACTTGAACCTCTGACCATGATTTGAAGAAAACATTAAATTGCAATTTAAAGAAATTGTTATGCTAATTTAGTGCCCAACTAACAGTGGCACACATTTAGTTCATTTCATCTACGGAAAATCTTTCAAAAGAACTTTGTCGTAGGCAACAAACTTAATGGCACATTAGATTTTTTTACACAAAATGATACCTGAACTGAACTTAAATACCTCCCTTATAAAAAAGACATTAATTAGTGTTTTAATTGCACAATTATATATTTGTACATATTTTTTTGTAGCACTTGAAGCTGTAAGGAAGGATGTATCACCTGTCATCATAGACAATACCAATACACAAGTCTGGGAAATGTGTCCATATGTTGATATTGTAAGTATGTCATTATAATAGGAAACTGTAATGGGGAACTGAGATCAGGGCAAGGCTAGGATCAAAAAGACTGTTCTAATACTTTCAAAGTGTTCATTAATTTTGTGTAAAAATATAAAAGATATATACAATTTTCAACAAAGCTGTCTATAAATTCCATTAGTAATTAAATTTCATTCTTTGTCATGTTTGTAGGCTTTTTTTCTAAAATATAATGGATGTATACAACTTTCAAAAGAGTGGTCTATAAATTCCGTTACTAATTAACTTACATTCTTTGTAGGCAAAGTCTGTGAATCCTGAATATGAGATAGAGATACTGGAACCATCAACACCCTGGAGATTTAAAGCCAGACAATGCTCAGAGTACAGTATTTTCATGCAATTGAAAATTTTGATAACTTTTTTTCCTTAACACAAAATATACAACTGTTAATGGTCGACAATTAGTGTGAGGCCTTTCAGATTTTCAGGTTACAATTAGAGAAAAAAGTAGAATACAAATAGATGTTAATGAATACGCTTATGTTTTTAGATATTATATCATGTAATCAGTAAACTGTTAAATTATAGGAAATCTAATCATGCTGTGCCTTATGAGAGCATCAAGAGAATGTTGGACAGATACCAAAGAAATGTAACAGTTGATATGTTAATTAATACTAAAAGGTAAATACTGAGATACTAAAGAAATGTAACAGTTGATATGTTAATTAATACTAAAAGGTAAATACTGAGATACTAAAGAAATGTAACAGTTGATATGTTAATTAATACTAAAAGGTAAATACTGAGATACCAGAGAAATGTAACAGTTGATATGTTAATTAATACTAAAAGGTAAATACTGAGATACCAAAGAAATGTAACAGTTGATATGTTAATGAATAGTAAAAGGTAAATACTGAGATACCAGAGAAATGTAAGAGTTGATATGTTAATTAATACTAAAAGGTAAATACTGAGACAGATACCAAAGAAATGTAACAGTTGATATGTTAGTTAATACTAAAATGTAAATACTGAGATACCAAAGAAATGTAACAGTTGATATGTTAATACTTAAAGGTAAATACTGAGATACCAAAAAAACGTAACAGTTGATATGTTAATAAATACTAAAAGGTAAATACTGAGATACCAAAGAAATGTAACAGTTGATATGTTAATACTAAAAGGTAAATACTGAGACAACACTCTAAATCATAGATGTTAATGATACTGTTGCTGCAAAGGAGGAGGGTGTATATGACATATTGCTTTCTTCTGTCTGTCTGTCCATCTAAGTGTCCTTCTGTCCATCTATCCTAACCTGTAAATTTTCATCCCATTTTCTTAGGAACTTCAAATCTGAGTTTCCTGAAATTTGTATCAAGCTTCATGTCAACATGCTATTCTATTTGATGCATGTTTACATCAATAGCTCATTATCTACTTCTGTAAACAATACTTATTTATTCTTAAACATAATAGCTATATATCAAATTTTGGGTGACATTTTTCTCATGAACTACAACAAGGAGCTTTAGGATATTTAGTATCAAGCTTCATGTGAACATCCTTTATAGTAAGGTGCATTTTCACATCCATTGCTAAATCAACTTACTGTTTTGCCAAATACTTAATTGGGATATCCTTGTAGTGAGCCATAGCTCACATTGCATCTTGTTTAATTACCCTCTTCCAAAAAAACCACCTTTTCTAGCTGAGAAAGGTATAATTGAAAAATAAAAGAGATAATTTGTTTAAATACTCTGTAGAAAGATATATGCACATGTTCATTTACTCCACTGAAATATTTGCATCAACAAAATTCCAGAACAGTTCCAAACTATAGTTCTTGAATGTTATAATGTTCCCCACTATTAGAAATCAATTCATAGTATCAACATGATCAAGAAGTTTATCATTTACAGATTCAGTCAATGAAGTCAATACAGTGACCTCTGTAGTGCTACATTGATATCCTCTTGTACCCCTGCTCTGATGGAAAGGTGGCATACTGTTATACTCTTAACACATAATGGCCCTTCTTCTACGGAACTACAGATAAGAGCTCCTTGAAATTTGTTATCAGGCTTCATGTGTACATGCTTTTCTTTATGATGTGTTTTCAGATTCATTGCTCATCAACTTCCTGTTTTCCGAATTCTTAAGCAGGGGTATCATCAGTTTTACTTGTTATGTACTGACTCTGTATCATTACAGGAACACAAAGTCTCAAGAATAAAGTAAGTCATTGTTGAAAATAGCTATCAATAGGTATGTCCTAATGAATATCTTCTTTTCTAATATTAGTAGGTCTAGACCAGTAAATTTATTACCACAAAACAGCACGCAGGAAACAGAAACAACAGAAACAAAAAAGGCCAAGAAATCATCAGCTGAGACAAAAAATAATTCTGCATTAAGTAACGTAGATGATGAGGATATTTGGCAGGATGTAGGGTCATTTAAATGGAAAAACTATTATCAGCCTTTAATGAATGAACAGGATGAGGAAAAGGAAGAAAATGAAGATTTGAAAGATGAAGAATTTCCAGCTTTGAAAAGTAATGACAAAAGGAATTCACAGGTGGAGAACAAATCATCTAAACATACTGAACGGAAAGATAAAACAAGATTAGAAACCAAAGAGAATATGTTACAAGAAGGGGAAGGAGGAAGTGAAAATGGAAATACAGTGGTTGCAGACAACTCCAATGTTACTGATAAGATTGATGAGCGTGCTATTGTATCAACAGTATCAATGTCTAGTGAAAGTCTGGTAAAGAACAATATGCTCCCATTCTCCACTGGTTTAGGATTTCAAATGAAGAAACATAAAGCCTTATCTACAGCTAGCTTACAGAAACAGATAGAGCTCATTTCTCAGCAAAAACTTCTTGTATCTGAAAAAACATGTGCTTCACCTGTAACAGTTCAACCTGAACAAAGTGATAATACACCCATTGAAAACAGGAGCTCAAGGACACCAAGTTTTGAAAAAGGGAGATCAGAGGACAAAGAATTCAGTGATGAAATCCATGAACTTGTTGATAGTTTGATGTCTGAGCATGTAGAGGATAAAACATTAAGTGATTTGAGTAAAGTACAGGATGAGTTGAAGGCTTATCTGCATATAATGCCTATTGATGAACAACAAAGACAGGATGCTGAATGTCTTATAGACCAGAAACTTAGTATGTTTCTACACAGTGATAAAACGTCAGACATGCAGCATGTGCAGGATGTGCAGGTACCTCTTAATTCAGTTGATAAACATCATGATGCAGAAGATGAAAAAGTACCTGGGGATACTAACCTTCCAAATAACTCATCAGTAACTGGTATTGTTGATGGAAGGTTTGACATTGAGCATAGTTTTCCCTCTGAATTAAATAGTGTTGAGGATAATCAAAATAGAACAGTTTCTGTTACTGATGAAGACCAGACAATTGGCAGCATAGAATTAAGTTTAGAGAAAGTTTTTGATGTCATTGATGAAAAACCTGAGAGAGAGAGTGAAAATTTGTATATTTCTCAAGAAGTTGATTTAAAGGTTAACAAAAGCAGAACGGTTGTAGAAAATGAAATCTGGTCAGCTGATCAGCTCAAAGGTCATGGTCATAATAAAAATTGGGGCAACAATGGTAAAACGGAGCAGGCTGATGAGGCACAGGGAAGTTATGATCAAAAAGAGTTGCATATGAAAAGTTTTGAAAAAGAATATTGGGACAGTAAAGGTAGTGTGAATAGCACCAAAAGTCCAGTCAATTTGGAAGAAAAAAGGGAAAATCATATAGATTCTGTAATTGAAAAAGTTAATGACTTATCTGATGATTTAGGTGAAAAATTTTGGAATGTAGATAGTGATGGAGAAAAAGATACAGAGAAAATTTATTGGAAGACCGAGAAACCATCCGAAGAGCAGGATAAACAAGTAAAGAGTTCTGATAAATTAGATTCACAAATTAAGAGTTCTAATGAATCAGACACACAACTAAAGAGTTTTGATAAATCAGATTCGGTATTAAAAAGTTCTAATAAATTGGATTCGGCAAGCAAAATAGAAAGTAAAGATGGTAAATCAGAAAAAGTGGGTAGTCCAAGTGTATGGGAAGAACCAAAGTCTAAACGTCAGAGGAAGAGAAACAATAGAGATAAAAATAAACAAGGGGATAATGTTAATAGTAATCAAAATACTGTATTGAATGAAGCGATTCAAAGTAAACAGAATAAAGAACCTGCTTCTGAAGTATCGTCTAAAGCAAGTGTGAAAAATAATGAAAATCAACAAACAGAACTCTCCTCCAAAGCAACAGTAAAATCTGGTGAAAATCAGCAAAAATCTAAAACTCGGAAAAATAAAACATCAAAAACATCTGGCCAGATAAAAGAACCAGTATCATTAAAAAAATCTTCACAGTTTAAACAAGTGCCTTCTACTAAAACATGTGATACTAATTCTCCTGACCAATCAGATTCTTCATTAGCTAATCAAAATTCATCATCCAAGTCAAACTCATCTAAAACCCATGACAATCATCAATCTATTAACTCTTCAGAAAACAGTAAACATAAGGCAGCTACTGGTAATGATCTCAAGGATACAAGTTATAAGTCAGTAGATAGAAATCAGAAACGAAATCAGTCAGTGATGTCTGATACACTTAAAAATGAGAAGTCTGATGAAAAAAGTAATCTTAAGCCTTCTGTATGTTTGTCTGATGCTATAAGTGTTGACAAGCCTTCATTTCTAGTCCAGCATTTTAATGATAGATTAGATGGTGAATGTACAGTATTAAATACTACATCTCTGTTATCTTTAAAGAAGGGAAAAGTAGAGCTCACAATAGATAGTCATATGGTACAGAGTAGATTAGATGATGGCAATTTTAAACAAAAACAGCAAAGTGATGAAAATAAGACGGATTTATCATCAATGACTCTAGACAAAAGACATGATAATTATTCTGATGTTAATAATAGTGCCAAGCACACATTTATTACTAAAGAAAATTTAAACCCAGAATTTTTAAATACACAACCTGATATTGTTTCAACAGATAGTGAAAACATACTTCAGGAAAATCCAAGCACTGTTGCATGTAGTAACACTATCAATTTAGAAAAACACAGTAAGCAGGATAGTCAGCCAACCGTAACGTTAACTGATCACAATCACTCAAGTATCACGAAAGGTGAAGGTGAAAAAACAAAGGATAAAGGTTCAGAAACTAGTCAGTTGGAGCCTGCTTTGTTATTGGGATCTGACAGACAGCAGGCCTTGATCAATAGAAATGGAGAAATGTCATCAGCAGCAGATATTAATGATACCAAACCGAACCAGGAAGTAGAGATATTAGATAAGGGAAATGATGAGTGTAGCCGGAATGATGTAGAGGAATTCTATAATAATGATTTACATAAAAAAGATAAAAATGCTGAATTAGTCACTGCACCAGATATTGAAGCTGTTGCTATGGAAGCAAATCAACAAATAAAAAGTGAAGAAGGAAATGATAAATCACCGAGACAAGATATAGCAAAAGTATCTACTGAAGTACAGGATAGTCAACAAGACGTTAGTGAATTGAATTCTAGGAAACAAGAAGAAATTAAAATTACACAAACTCCAGTATCGCAGGATACAGGTGAAGCTGATGAAAAATCTGGGACCAAAAAGAAAAAAAAAACAAGCAACAAGAGAAAAATGGCAGCTAAATTTCCTGACAAATTTCTTGATGATTCAGTCAAAGAAGCATTTCTTAACAATGATTGGGCTACGCAAATGCCAAAACTTGAAGGATCGGCACCCATTAGCTCTTTAGATCTCGAAACAAAACCTTGTATACGCAAAATGGATGCATCAACATCAATCACATCTATTGATACTAAAGTTCTTAATTTAATAAACACTGGCAATATGCACATTTTACAGAAAATTGAATATCCTTATCAAATCTGTATTGGTAGAGAATTATCCATTATGAAAGGCACTCCTAAATATGACCCAGATGGCTCTATAGAAAGAGGTATTCCTGAAGTTTTACACCAGGAAAAAAGTACAATGACAGACAGTATGTGTGTTGTTGGTCTTGAGTTTCTTCAAAGTAGTTTTCCGTCCATACCTGAGAAGGAATTAAAGGACATTTTAGAAAAGTGTGATGGTGATGTGGAATGGGCTGTGAATCTATTGCTGGACTGGAAATATAACCTTAATCTCAGTGAGGAGGACAGTGATAAGTTTGTCGATTGTATGTTTAAAGCTCAACACATTCCCAAATCACCCAGCATTCATTCGGCACTCAGACAGAAATCCATGAAAAATGTTGTCTCTCCTAAAACATTGATGGATATGTGTAATGACATCATTAAGGAACATAATATGGACCGACATGAGATTGAGCAACTGTTGATAACTAGTAGTGAAAAAAGACTTTCTTCACTGGAGAAACAGTTGTCCATTAAAGCTAAGCAATATAGTTTTAGTTCATTTGGTGACGAAGTTATTGAGGAAGACTCTGAATTTACCGATGCTCTGTTAAAGGAATTGATCAATTCTGCTGATAATAAAAGTTTGAGTAGTGACAGTCGTGAGAGTAGTCATGTTAGTCTGTTAGATGATTCAGTCCAAGTCAGTAGTGAAGGTCTAAATACAAATGATGCTAACGAATTTTGGAATGTTGACTTTGACCTTGATGCCAAGAAGAAAACTCAAAACAAAGAATTGGAGAATGTTCACTTTGATTTGGATGTTGGAGGGATGGATATTGATGATGAAGAAGGTGTTCCCGAGTCGGAGGTTATGATAAACAGACCTGATGATAGTCGGATCGACCGAGATAGAACTGATTCATTTGGTGAACCAACCGTTCTACTGCCTCTGAAGAAAGAGTTTACCAAAGCATTATTTAGTCTCTTTGGACCAGTTGATGGTCTTGATACAGGTAAATTAGATTATACTGCATTTTTTTATGATTTAATCATTTAAATGTTGACATGTAGTATTTTAAAAGTAAAGGTTAGTTTTCAAACTTTAAAATGCAAAGTTTACTTAAAGGTAGCTTATTAAATTATGATCATGTTAATAGGTGATTTAAAGCATGAAGGAAAGATTGAACAATGAATTAGGATAAAAATAGACTTAACTCTATCGAATAAAATTGGATACATTGTATTTTAAATATAAATTAGGCACACACATCATAGAAGAAACAGTGTTTTTATAAAGAAGAAAATCTTAGATGAATAAAGTGAGATGTTGTGTAAACATGATTTAGACAGCAATCCATCAACATATTTTTACAAAATAATGGACATTCAGAAGTCACTGTATGGTCTTTTAATTATGGCAGATGCTTAATTGCCACTATTTTAAAAATGTTATGAGTAAATCATATTGTTTTATTATAAAGTTAGTCATTTAGAAAAAGAAAGCTAGAAAATAAAACAGAGATCATGGAGTAGAAAAATACAAGAATTTGGCATTCATGGTATAGTTTCTGTTATTCTTGAGAGATATTTTTGACTTGATATGTTTTCAGATAAGGAAGATGATCTGGCTATCCCAGTAACATTAGATGTAGCTAAGTTAATGTACACCTGTATAAAGACAGCATCACGTAAAGGACAGGTCAGAGTTCATTCTGATCAACAGTTAATGGAAGGTAATTATTACACATGTGAGTCTGATAAGGCTCACCAAGCTTAAAGATTCAAGATTTAAGAACAAAGGCTGAGAAAAAGGTACCTAAGATAACAACTTTACTTTTTACAAAGTTATGGTTAATAAATTTTGTTCCCTGCTACACCCACGTCATAATCAGTAGCAGGTGACGGAAATACTGGTCTTGTGGCCATCCGGTCTTTTAGCAACTTTCACATCTTCATTTATTGTCCAAATTTTATGAAATTCATATGAAAATTGATACCAGCAATGCCTTGTAAACCTGTGTACAGACATGTCTTTGAAAAAAGTTTGTACAGGATTTCATAATGTTGGAAAATATAAAATTTTGGTAGTTAATATCCATATAGAAATAAGGAGATGTGGTATAATTGCCAATGAGACAACTCTCCACCAAAGTATGAATGTACATTTAAAATATGTGTTATGATTTAATAGAATGTATATGTATTTCCCCTGAATACTTTGCCTGGACTACTTAGAATTACAAGTTTTTGTTTTGTATAAAAGTGAACTTAAAAAGTATGTTTCATATGCCCTCCTGGAGGGTCTTTTCCTCTGAGGTAGCACATTATTAATCTGTCTTAGTTATCAAGTATAAAGCAAAGTACCATTAGAGAATCATAATCTAGTCTTGAATATGCATGTTTTTAATTCTGACTGTTTTAATTTCAACTTAATAGTCAGTATTAAGCAATCAACACAAACTGTTAATTTTCCAATAATTTTGCTGTTTTTTTGCAGTATAAATTGATAGTTTTACAGACAAAGCAGATAAAATATTTACTTTAAGGTTTAATCAAAAGATGATTGCAGTAAAAACAATATTTAAACTTCTCATTTTTGTTGTTGTTGATTTTGACTCCACAATATGGGACATTATTTTGTTTACCAAACATTTAGACCAGTGAATGGCCAGATTTTGTCTTACAGAGAGCATGATTGTCAGATATATTGGGAAGTCTGCTGGACATCTAGTAGCCATTAATCAGTCATTACTTAAGGGCTTTAATTAGAACCTTTAAATTAAAAAAAAGATTAGATAAGAGATGCAAGAAAGTACAAAATTAAAATCATAGTCTGAGATATGATTTATCATAGAATTTTTTCTCATGCTGAGTACTTATAATTTCTGTAGATGAAGCTTATGCCAGACAGTTACAGGCAGAGGAGGATAGTGAAATAAATCACCATGAAAACAGACTGACTGGTCCGGTCAACTCAACACCACAAAGCTTTAGTAAACCACCTCCACCAGTTATTGGATTTAGCATCGATAGGGGACTGAACTTGTCATCCCCAAGACCCAAAGTTGTCTCCCTTTTAGACATAATGGTTGAAGAACAAGTAAAAGAAATAGAAAAGAAAGAACTCGTAAGGCTTTCTTAAGTTAGTTTTATTTATCAAAAATGTATAATCATTTTTCATGACGAACAATTTTTTCTTACAAATTTTATACATTATCAAATACAAAGAAAAAATATAAGATAGAGAAAGATTTGAAGTATTTTTCTGTGATAAATCTGTAATATCAGAAGTCTGTTTCTTGGAGTAATCACAATTTTTTTTTTTAAAGTTTTAAGAGTTTGGTATAGACATGCAGGTTTCATTTGAAATAAACTGCTTTGTTAGAAGACCACCTCTGTGAAAAATCTCTCAAAGTTATTAACAATCTTGTAAAGTATATCATGGAAACTGCTACCTGTTACTCTCCTATAGAAACACTTTGGTTTCTTGATCAATAATTATTGACATATGGCTGAAATCTTGAAATGTTTCAAAGAGAACTGCTTATTGCTGTGTTACAGGAAAGTGATTCAGAACAGGTATTAATGTTTTGGCTTTTGCAAGCTTTCTTTTTTCTTCTGGCTAAAATCAGGTCACCTTGTTATATTAATGATCAGCTTCAACAGTGTACCAAGAATTCAGAACAAGCCAGCATTTCATATTTTACAGTAGGTTAAAAGCAAAAATCAGTCAAAAGTACAGTTTTATTTCTTCATAAGCAACTTTCACCAAAATATCATCATAATAGATACATTGGTTGGTTAATTTGAATATAAACAAATATTTAATAAATATGATTTGTATCAGTACATTTATGTACTCTTAAGTAACATAATATATATCAATTTTATGAACATAAATGTTAAATTTGCATTTTATGAAAAAATGTAATAGACCTACTCTTAAATTTCCTCACATAAACTAAATCTACTGAATAAAGGCTTTCTATTTTACAGACTTTTTCCTTCTGGAATATTTTGAAAATTGAATAGTGATCATCATTAACTCTACTTCTAGGCTGTTGATTTTGCTTTTAATCTAGTTGTACGAGAGATATGTGATGTATCTAACTGCTTTTTAACACACAAAAATCAGCTGTATACATGTATATGACTTGAATATGACTTCTCAATTTTGTTTATTTCTGCTTGCTGCACTTTCACAGTAGTGATTGAAGATTTATATTGTGTGGCAGTCTGGCTGACACTTCATAATTTGGTGCTTTGTATCAGCATGAAGATATTTCAGGAGAAAAATCATTATTATTTCGCTAGTTTTGTCTTCCTGTTTTTGATTAGATCTGTTTTTCTCTTAATCTGTGGACAGTATTTTTGCTAATTCTTTAGACTGGTCAGGATATTTTTGCTATTTCTAGACGGGGTATTTTTACAAAATGTTTAGACTGGTAAGGATATTTTGCTAATCTTCAGACTGGTAAGGATACTTTTGCTAATCTTTAGACTGGTAAGGATATTTTTGCTAATCTTTAGACTTGTAAGGATATTTTTGCGAATCTTCAGACTGGTAAGGTTATTTTTGCTAATCTTTAGACTGGTAAGGATATTTTTGCTAATTCTTTAGACTGATAAAGATATTGGTATTTTTGCTAACTCTTTAGACTAGTACAGATGTTTGTATTTTTGCTAGTTCTTAAGACTGGTAAGGATATATTGGTATTTCTGCTAGTTCTTTAGAATGGCAGGATATTGGTATTTTTGCTAATTCTTGGTAAAGATATTGATATTTTTACTTAAAGGTTACATAACCACTGATGTCAGTTGATATGTTTCACTTCATGTTATGATGTAGCTGTATTACATGTATTGTAAAATGTAAACTACAAAATTAGAAGAAAAGGTTGCAAATTGAACTTAAAGAGTCCTTTCCAATTCAACTAATTCACACAATTAAAATCAAGTCAAAGAACCTGCATAATGGCAGTGTTTACACGAAATTAACAACTTTCAATAAATATAAGCTTCAGTAACAGTAATACAATTCAAAATTTAGGCCTTGGTTGGGCTAAAAATGCTTCTTGGTAAACAACAGCTTCAAATGTAATGTGTAACCGAATTCACCTTCTTTTTACACTAATAATACAGGAAGTTGTGTAAATAAATGATAAACACAGCTTTATTTTAACTCCTTACTAAATTCATAAAGCCAAATGTGAAATGAAACAGGTGATAACAAAAACAGCCGGTCTCTTGGACAGTTCAATTTCAACTTTCAAATTTGCTTACATTAGAAACGAAAAATATTGTTAGCATAGACCATTTCCCATAATTACCTACTTTTCACAGATCTTGTATATGCTTTCATCACACTGACAAATATGCATGTTCATAAATTACATTCAAGAACTTATTTTAATACACACATAGTTACAATATTTCAATAAGCAAACTGGGAAATAAATCCTGTATTACAGAAAAACCGATAACTCTTGCTCAAAACATGGACAGTTTAACGATACACATCAACACTGCTGAATTCAACTGAAAACTTTAATAAATGTTAGCAAGGCTGAATTACGGTTTCTAAGATCCTTCATACCAGTACACAAATTTGCAAACTTCAATTATATGGAACAAATGATATTTACATAATAAATCCTCATTGTAAACCGAAATTCATCCAAATACCATTCCAATTTCACAACACATGTATATTTATATTAGTATACTTCTATTGACATCAGTAAACTAATACAAAATTTTATTTAATCTTCAAAATTCTCAACTTTTTTCCAGATTGAATTTTATCCATTGAAGTATAAATACTATTCATGATTCAGATTTCTGAAACAAAAATCTAGCACTACAGTGAATTGACTTAACCAAAATTTATTAAACATTCTTCTGAAAAGATCCACAAACGGAAACAACTACTGTACATTCAGACATTTTTGCGTGCATTTATTATTGCGATTTTGTCATTTTAGACTAAAATGCAATTTTAATTTATGCGATATTGAGAAAAATCCTGATTAAATCATATAAAAAATTTCAAAATGTGAGTTTAAATTATTGTGATTATAACCCTGTCACATTTTTTGCATTAATAGAAACATCGAAATAATTTCTGAATTTACAGTAACTACTTCACTATTAGTGGGTATACAAAATAAATTCAATGTTTTTCTTAATAGATATATATTTAAGTTCCTACACAACCTAAATAAATGATGCAGGTAACCATTGCACATTCTATCCAATTAAATGTCAATCTTCTATTGAGCAGGTAGAAACTCTACAACAATCTGGATCATTTTCTGCTTTGTCTACACGGTTAAAACAACAGAAACTGTATTATGTATTCCCAGGAATAGACACCACTGTGTTAGATGATATTTTTCAGGCTAACTGGTAAGTGAAAGAAACATGTTAAACTGTACTGCTATTCTGGCATATGTCATCCAGCCAAGTCTATGTAGCAAAGTGAAAGGGAAAGTTTAGGTAGCTTAGTATCTATCAAACATCTACTTGAACTAAAGCCACTTACTCAGAACTGTTTAACATGGACGTAAATTTTCAATGAGAGAATTGTCCACTAGGGACCAACAGACATGGATGTTTAAAGCAACTATTGGTCACTGTACAGCATTCAACAATGAGCAAAACCAATATCATATAGTCAGCTATAAAAGTCCCCTGCATGATATTATGTGTATTAATTCAAACAAGACCACCAACTGCCTGATTTATGCTAAAACAATAAACAAACAAAAATATGGCAGACAGCTACCAACGACAACAACTCAATTACAGGTTCCTGATTTGGTATATATGCACTTAAAGAATCGTAGAGTGGACAGTGGTTCTGTTTCATGCTCAAATAGACCACTGTGTACAGAAATATTAAGTAGTAATCCAATTCCCTTGGTCTTGAATGTAAAGAAATTGAGCAAATGAACAATATTACCATAGAATACCTATCAATGTATAAATCATAATTTAATAGAAAGTAAAAAGGTTTTAGCACAAAGTATATGTCATGTCATATAAAATATGTTTCCGTAAATTTTATTTATGGCTTTGTAAAAATCATGATCTAATAGAAAGTAAAAAAAAATAAGCACAAGGTATATGTCGTGTCATAAATATGTTCCAGTAAATTTTATTTATGGCAATATGAAGGCAGAATGTCAATGTGATCTACATCAGATTTGGTAGAAATATTACAACTATTACTGTTAATGTTTTGGAAATGCTATGCACTCTGCAGTTTATGTTTTCCCGTTTTAGCTTTATTCTAGAAGATACCATTAAGGCTGTACAGGGCTCCCTGGCATGCAATGCTGGAACCCCAAAGACTGTGATGTCAAAGGCAGCTGAGGAAAACTATGAGAAACATTTGATAGAGGCAGCTAAACAACAAAGTTTACAAGAGATGGTTTGTACTTATCACCATTTGAAATATATTTGTTTCGACTTTAAAGAAGTTAAAGGAATGGCATCTAAAGTTTCACTTTCCTATTGGCCACACCAAAATAATGTCTTGCTTGTCAAAATCGCCACTCCAAATTTCTGTTTTGTTTTATGTTTGCTCTGAAATTTGTTTAGCCCAGAAAATTTCTGGATGTTAGTTTTAAAAGAATAATTCCAGTGCAAATCAAATTGAAATTTTTTAGTAGTTTGCATACAATTTCGTCTCAAAACAATGTGTTTAATTTTGAATTTGCTTAAAGCAGGAAGGATTCTGCAGTAACTGCAACTCTCATATAAAAAAATATATAATTTAAGTGATACATGCATAAATGCCAAACAAGGATACCTTTGAATCTTAGTTATGTTGCTTATATTGTAAATTTCAATATCAGACACCTAAAAATAATTTCGCTCCATCAGATTCATAAAAAAAAAAAAAAAAAAAAAAATTTGTACAGCCTATCTTTTAAATTTTGGTAAATCTATTTGCATGAAGTATTTGCCATTGTGTGTTAATTGTATAACATTTTACAATTAGATAAACATTAAATTACATCCATACATTCAGGATTAGCAGCATCGAAAATCCATTTTTCGAGAAAAAATGATTTTCGATGCTGCTAATCCTGAATGTATGGATGTAATTTAATGTTCATCTAATTGTAAAATGTCATACAATTAACATACACTGAAACTGCTGAACTAATTTTGTTCATTTTTGATTGGAAACTTCCTTAAGGGATTTTCTTTCAAAATCATATGTGGTGATATTCTTGTTTGTCAAGTTGAACTTTAACAAAATGCATGATTAATTACTGTATACATGCTGTAGTTTTAGTCAGTGTAATCATTTTGCCTAGTTCTAGAATTGAACATATTTCGTGATAGATTTCATGTCCGCTATATATCCTTGTTTTTCCTTTCCAGCTTGATTCTTGCTTACATGCAGTACATGTACCAAAAGTGATCAAGGATGCAAAAACTGTCAATGCTTCAGTGGATTATGAAGAGTTCCGTGGGGAAGCTAATCTTCATTACAGACTCAGGCATGAATGTTTCCAGAAGGCACAAGAGGCCCACAGGAGGGGAATGAGACAAGTTGCTTCATTTTATTCAGAACAGGTACTTAGTTTTCAAGGCAAATCTTTTATATAAGAAAAGGTGAAAAGATATTTTATTGAAGGTGGCAATTTTCTTAAATAATATGTTTCAAAAAAAATGTGTGGGTTTGTATAAAAATAAGGAGATGTGGTATGATTGCCAATGAGACAACTATCCACCAAAGTTCAAATAAAGTGGAAATTTAAATTTACAGAAATAGAAAAAATGCAACAATAAAAACTATCAATAGACAGCTCTCTCCCAAGCAAAAAACCCATAACTGTAAAATATAAGGGCATACACTACAAGCACGGGGACACATTCGACAGCATTCACACAGCACGAGCAACAAACCCTGCAATCAATATAAAAATAAGATGTGGTATGATTGCCAATGAGACAACTATCCTGCTTGTTTGTAGGTACCAATTTTTATAAGACCGCAAAAATTAAAAATTTTTTGGTCGTATATTGGTATGATGTTGGCGTCGTCGTCGTCCGAAGACACATTGGTTTTCGCACTCTAACTTTAGTTTAAGTGAATGGATCTCCATGAAATTTTACCATAAGGTTCAATACCACGAAAGGAAGGTTGGGATTGATTTTGGGGGTTATGGTACCAACAGTTAAGGAATTAGGGGCCAAAAATAAGCATTTTTGTAACTTCCAGACAATAACTTGTGTGTAAGTGTATGGATCTCTCTGACATTGTACCACAAGGTTCCATATCACAAAGGAAAGGCTGTAATTGATTTTGGGGGTAATTGCCTCAAAATTTTAGGAATTAGGGGCCAAAAAAGGGGCAAAAAACAAGCATTTTTCTAGTTTCATGACAATAACTTGTGTGTAAGTGTTTGGATATTTCTGAAATTGTACTACAAGGTTCCATATCACAAAGGGAAAGCTGGAATTGAGTTTGGGGGTAATTGCCCGAAACATTTAGGAATTGGGGGCCAAAAAGGGGCCAAAAATAAGCATTTTTCTAGTTTCCAGACAATAACTTGTGTTCAAGTGTATGGATCTCTCTGAAATTGTACTGCAAGGTACCATACCACAAAGGGAAGGCTGGGATTGAGTTTGGGGGTGATGAATCATAAGGGGGTTCAAAAAATTTGGGGGGGGATTTTATTTTTTTCTTTTTTTTTCTTTTTTTCCTTTTTTTTTTCTTTTAAAATTTTCCATTTTAAGTTGGTTATTTCTGATTAATATTTAAAAGCAAATAATAATGATATGGTAGGAGATACACACCAAACAGGATGTGTAAATTATTATCTAATAAGTATTGTGCAATAGCAAGAAATTTTCAATTGCACAGTATTGCACAATAGCAAGAAATCTTCAATTGCACAGTATTGCGCAATAGCAAGAAATCTTCAATTGCACAGTATTGCGCAATAGCAAGAAATATCCAATAGCACAATATTGCGCAATAGCAAGAAATTGTCAATTGTACAGTATTGCGCAATAGCAAGAAATATTCAATTGCACAGTATTGTGCAAAAGAAGATACTTCGTATAAATTGCTTATTTCTTGATCAATTTCAATGGGGTTTTATTCTTGAATTCTTGGGGTTCTTTAATATGCTGAATCTAACCGTGTATTAAGTTTTTGGTTTTGGGCTCCATTTTTAAATTGGTCCACATTGAGGTCCAAAGGGTCCAAAATTTAACTTTGTTTGATTTCATCAAAAATTGAATTATTGGGGTTCTTTGATATGCTGAGTCTAACCGTGTATTTAGATTCTTAATTTTTGGTTCCGTTTTCAAATTGGTCTACATTAAGGTCCAAAGGGTCCAAAATTAAACTTAGTTTGATTTTAACAAAAATTGAATTTTTAGGGTTCTTTGATATGCTGAATCTAAACATGTATTTAGATTTTTGATTATGGGCCCAGTTTTCAAGTTGGTCCAAATCGGGGTCCAAAATTAAACTTTGTTTGATTTCAACAAAAATTGAATATATGGGGTTCTTTGATATGCTGAATCTAACCATGTATTTAGATTTTTGATTTTTGGGCCCTGTTATCAACTTTGTCCACATTGAGGTCAAAAGGGTCCAAAATTTAACTTTGTTTGATTTCATCAAAAATTGAATTATTGGGGTTCTTTGATATGCCGAATCTAACCGTGTATTTAGATTCTTAATTTTTGGTTCCGTTTTCAAATTGGTCTACATTAAGGTCCAAAGGGTCCAAAATTAAACTTAGTTTGATTTTAACAAAAATTGAATTTTTAGGGTTCTTTGATATGCTGAATCTAAACATGTATTTAGATTTTTGATTATGGGCCCAGTTTTCAAGTTGGTCCAAATCGGGGTCCAACATTAAACTTTGTTTGATTTCATCAAAAATTGAATTCTTGGGGTTCTTTGATATGCTGAATCTAACCATGTATTTAGATTTTGGATATTGGACCATAATAGGTGAATGTCCAATTTAAAATTTTTAAGTTCTTAGACCACATTCATTCTGTGTCAGAAACCTATGCTGTGTCAAATATTTAATCACAATCCAAATTCAGAGCTGTATCAAGCTTGAATGTTGTGTCCATACTTGCCCCAACTGTTCAGGGTTCGACCTCTGCGGTCGTATCAAGCTGCGCCCTGCGGAGCATTTTATTGTGGATTACATTGTTATGGGAGATTTTTAATGTTCAACAACAACAAAAATTATGTTCTAAAGGCATGAAGTCTTTGAATAAAGACTTTGCTGTTTTTATAGATACTGGTAATTATTGTCTGTGCAGACAGATATATTGTAACTTTATATGTATCTGACATCAGACTTGGACTTCTCTTGAACTGAATTTTAATGTGCGTATTGTTATGCGTTTACTTTTCTACATTGGCTAGAGGTATAGGGGGAGGGTTGAGATCTCATAAACATGTTTAACCCCGCCGCATTTTTGCGCCTGTCCCAAGTCAGGAGCCTCTAGCCTTTGTCAGTCTTGTATTATTTTTAATTTTAGTTTCTTGTGTACAATTTGGAGTTTAGTATGGCGTTCATTATCACTGAACTAGTATATATATTTGTTTAGGGGCCAGCTGTAGGACGCCTCCGGGTGCGGGAATTTCTCGCTGCATTGAAGACCTGTTGGTGACCTTCTGCTGTTGTCTGTTCTATGGTCGGGTTGTTGTCTCTTTGATACATTCCCCATTTCCATTCTCAATTTTATTGTAGGGACATCTCCATACACAGAAGATAAAAGATGCTAATATGAGAGCATCAGAACAGATCTTATCTACTAGGTAAGTCTTTACCATGTCCTTTCAAAAAGGGACTATTAATCTTATAGGTATGGACTTACACAATCTTAGGTTTTAAAGTCCTTCATTCAAGGATATCTTATGAATCCTGTTTATATGGATTTTTCCTGAAATTGATTTATAATAAGTACAGTTGTAGGTTATTTTGAATTGAAAGTTTGACAAGGAATGAAAGGTTAGAAATACTATTGCAATTTCTTCCTTTCAATAATATTAAAATAAGAAGATGTGGTATGATTGCCAATGAAACAACTATACACCAGAGACCAAATGACGTAGATGTTAGATGGTTTCATGTAATTTTACTACTCTGTGCCCCCATTGCCTACATTTTTATAAAAATATATATAGAAACTGGAAATATACAACGGTATTCAAGTTCCACCATTGAATATATAACTAAAAGCACAAACCCTCCAAATTTTTGGTTTAAAGAGAAATTTTGATGTGCTATAAGAGTTTCCTATGAATATTTGATTTGGGCTGTTTGTGGTATTTGATATATGTACATTTACATAGAAAAAGCTGATAAAACTGTTTTGTAGCAAGTACAAATGAATTTTTATATTTTTGACCAGGTATGTAAATTTCCTATTAAAAGAAACTTATAAAGGACAAACAAACAAATAAATATTACTTCAGACAATCTCTAATGATCTTCCTTCACCAGGACATGAAACTGGTCAGTAATTGTCTTGATTTTACACCATATCCTTGCACGGTTTACAAATTTCATTGTAGAATTGATATGTTGGAGAAGAATTCAACCCTTGACTTGCACGGTTTACATGTAGATGAAGCTGTAGCAGCTCTAGAAAAAATACTACCTAATAAACAATTTGGTAAGGAAATGTATTTAAAATACTATTACACTATATATAAAAGTATATTATGCGCTCATTCAATAGTGCTAGGGAAGATAGATTTTCATACATCTATTGTCAAATCTCTCATTAAAGTTTTTTAAGTCCAGGGCTAGATTTGAGTAACAACAAGTCACACATGTGTCATATTTTGCCAAGCAACAAGATTTTTAAAATAGTAAATATAAGAATTATTTAGCCACTTTGTCCTACATTTTATGTGTTATAAGCAATGACATGTTATGGAGAAAATATTACATACCCATGTTAAATAGTGACAAAGGTCCATACAAAACCTTTTTCCAATAATGACCATGGTTAGATTTTGTTTTAATGTGACTTACTGTCTACATTTCAGAACTACAGAGTAATCCATTGAGACAGAAACAGTATTTAATTATAGTAACAGGAAGAGGAACGCATAGTAGAGGGGGCGTCTCAAAACTCAAACCTGCTGTGATGAATTACTTACGACGTAATGAATACAGGTGAGTGAACTGATTTTAGTAATAAAATTAAATTTCAGTTAAATATATAAAGGACTGTTCCATTAAAACATAAATGGTACCCAGGGAAGGCACGTTAAAAATGGGATACCATCAGAAAGGCAATTTTAGAATTTGACTTGCATTTTGATTGTACAAAAAAGTATTTGACACCCATCCATAGTTAAGATTTTAAAGTGCCTTCCTTTGGTCCCATGCATGTATTTAACAGTCCCGAATACATTAATTTTAAGGATAATGAATCCTGACACATGTGACAGGAAACAGGAACTTAAAAACACCGCATTGTTTAGTGGTTTTCTTCTTTTGATAAATGGAAGACATTCACATTGTTTCTTCCTGATTTTAGTTTTTAAAGCTTTAGATTCCACCATTTTCATTGGAGATGATAGTGGAATTGATTGATTATGTTATTACCTAAAAAGTATACAAAATGATAAGTACACAACAATTATGTTTAGCCAGCTAAACATCTGTGCCATTGTAAAGATTATTTTTTAATCGAAAATCGTGCACAGTCCAGTGTTTGTTCAAAGACTTGTTGAATAGTAATACTACATGTCAAATTTCCTTTTCAGATTTTCTGAAATCCATGAAGGTGCCTTACGAGTAAGCTTAAAGCACAGAAATAATACATAGTTTTTAGTCAAACGTTTTTTGTAATTTTAATTTGATTTTTTTTGCATTGTTTGTTGTAGCTTCTGGATTACTTTGTAAACAAATTGTGAAGTTATATTGTTTATAGTAAAGTGCTGTATATGTTATAAATATTGACCATTGTTAAGTTTTATGTAACTCAAAATATTGGTAGCTGAATCATTGTATGAACATTTTTTCCTTTTGTTATTTTTAAGCAATATCATAAACTATATTATGTGGAAGTCAATAGAAAATTTGCAGTATTGCTTAGATATGTTTGTTTCATATCTTTTAAAATCTGTTGAGTAGAGTATTCATATCAAGTTAACTGATATAAATGGTTTTTTTTTTCAATATCCATAAATTTTAATCATTTAGAATTTCCCTCTGAAGATGAGTACTCTGAGGTTTGGATTGGGCCAAACTTCCCATTTAAGTAAAAGATCTCAATATTTCTCATTCATTATTGATGTACCTGATTCATTACATTTGCATGTATTATAATTCTTTTTCACATAAAAACAACATTAAACTGGACACTATTTCTACATTCTATTTACATTAAAAAAGAAAGTTTAGTATGTGTCAAATTCAATGTATCTTGTAAATGATGTATATGCAGGACAAACCCCTAAAAGCTACTTTTTTTCTTTTGGCAGTATTTCAGGTTTTAACTAATCTGACCAAATTTATCTGTTGTATCATTCCTTCTTTTGTTTTCAAAGTAGGATATTTGTAAATCAGACAATAACTCATTGAGAAAAATGACAGATATGTCTAGTTACCACACTCATCTGTTAAATTTTTACACTATTTATTGTTTTTTTGTTTTGTTTTTTTTTTTTTTTAAAGAAGACAATTAATTTTCAAATTCTGTGAGATCAAATATCCAATGAAACAAAGTGAAATTGAATTTAAAAGGCTAAATTCCATCTCATAAATTTTCCAGAAGGAACGACGAGGGTGGTTTTTAACGACATTGACTACCCATGAGGGTCTTGCACGGTCGTAAGAGGGAAGGGGGGCGTCTTCCCTTTTTATAGTTTTTTTGTTGAGCCTTCGACTTTTGTGGAAAAAGCGAGACATAGCAATCCTACATTCCGTGGGCGTTGTCGTCGGCGGCGTCCACAAATATTCACTCTGTGGTTAAAGTTTTTGAAATTTTAATAACTTTCTCAAACTATCCTGGATTTCTACCAAACTTGGACAGAAGCTTGTTTATGATCATAAGATAGTATCCAGAATTAAATTTTGTAAAAAAAAAATTCCTGTTTTTCCGTATTTTACTTATAAATGGACTTAGTTTTTCTGCCAGGAAACATTACATTCACTCTGTGGTTAAAGTTTTTAAAATTTTAATAACTTTCTCAAACTATCCTGGATTTCTACCAAACTTGGACAGAAGCTTGTTTATGATCATAAGATAGTATCCAGAAGTAAATTTAAAAAAAAAAATACTGTTTTTCCATATTTTACTTATAAATGGACTTAGTTTTTCTGCTAGGAAACATTACATTCACTCTGTGGTTAAAGTTTTTAAAATTTTAATAACTTTCTTAAACTATCCTGGATTTGTACCAAACATGGACAAAAGCTTGTTTATGATCAAAAGCTAGTATATAGAAGGAAATTTTGTAAAAAAAAAATTCCTGTTTTTCCGTATATTACTTATAAATGGACTTAGTTTTTCTTCCAGTTAACATTACATACAGTCTGCAGTTAAAGTTTTAAAACATTTATTAGATTCATAAACTATCCTGGATTTTTACTAAACTTGGACAGAAGCTTCTTACAATAAAAAAATTGTATCGAGAGGAACATTTTTATTAAATTTTTTCCTCATCTCATTTTTGTTGAGCCTGCGATTAACAGCAAAAGTAGGCGAGACACTGGGTTCCGCGGAACCTGTACAAATTTTTAGTAAATTTACACCTGTGTGACAGCTTTCATTTTCATCTTTCCAATGTGTAATTGATGTTGTAGCATGTTTGGTATGGTACATCTTTTTTATTTTAAATATAGTGTTACTGTTATGAAAATTTATATGTGTTAAAATATACTTTACTGTTTGCTGGAGTAAAAAATGAGTTCAAAGTATTTTTTGAAAATTTACAAATTTGTATAGAATACTAGGAAAATTTGAAAAGGGATTATCTTTACTCTTGAAGTATAGATTCTACCCCTGTATCAGATTTAATATGATATTCTCTTGATAATGTAAAATTTTCAAATTAAAAAAGTGAGGCTTTCTTAAGCATTTAGACATTTAAGATTTGAGAGAGAGAGAGAGAGAGAGAGGTGAAAGATACCAAAGGTATATTCAAACTCTTAGGTAGATGACGAACTAACAACGCCATGTCAAGAGTGTAGAAATACTTTATCGCATGTGATAGGGTGTTGGAATCTGTTTCTCTTATAATTTTTAGACAGTATGTAGGCAAACTTTCTTTCTTTTTAAATGATTTTTAAAAAGATGTTCTTTCTGTTGGACATCATCAAGCATGGTTGCCATTTTTGGGTAAAGATTGCATGAAATGCAATCAAAACCCTATGTTACAGACTTGATATCTAAATCTTCAAAGGTTTATCACTATTTTTGAGATACACAAAATATAGTGCATCGATCATAACATTCTATACATCCCATCCATGAAAATTTCCAGAAATTTATCAATTAAATAAACACTCAGATATTTGAGTCACAAATTGATGTTATACTTGTCAAGAAAATTACATAACTTTTGCAAGGTGCAGGAATCCAATATCTGATCTAAAAATGTCAGTGATGTCATTGTTAAAGTCATCTTTAAAAATTGGAGTTATCTTGCTTTGTCCAGAATTGTATTTGAATCAACTACAACCAATGCTTTATACAATGCAATACTTAATTTGACTTCACACTGATAAATTAAGGGAATCTTTACCCTTCAGTGGTAACAAGCACTTTGATTCAAGATGTAACAATAGCTTAATCAGAAAGCAAAAAAAGTTGATATCATAATTGAATTCTGTCCTCTGAAATAATGACTTCAAGTAAACATCAATGGATTAAAAAAATATCTAGCCTTCAGGGAAAATGTAATTTCGGGTAAGAATTGGAGAATAATTTTCATTGTTATGAATTTGATGTGTACATCCATCAAACCTTGGCTGTGACTTCAATAATTTGCCTGTGGTTACCACATTTGTGTTGAAAAAAAGATATACTCGGTTATAAGTTACAAAGATATTTGTCTCATGAAATGTTTTTATAATGATTGATTATAGATTATATATGAAACAAAATAAAAGGTAGTTAAAAAATTCAATGGTTAGTTTTATTAATATCGATAATTTATTGTAAAATAATTACCAAATGAAATATTTTTTATTGAAATAAACAATTTTAGAAATATTAAAATGAGCTTATATGTAATAAAATGAAAAATTACCTGTTTGGCTTTATATAAAGATGGAGATAGACTTCAAGTCAAAAGTTTTCATTTAATGCAGATAAATGGTTTAAAAAATATAATTAGCCCTATAGATGATTTTTACAAAAACACTTGTATTGAATTGACCATCAAAGAAGTTACAGGGCAAATACATTAGGGACCTTTTTTTAAGCACAATTAGTAAATTTACATTTTGTTTACTATTACTGCCGTCCATAAATTTATGTCTAAGTTGATCAGAAACATTTGTTTTAGATGTTTATAGATGCTGTTGAAATGTATTATATGTAGCAGGAGAATATTTTTTTTTGTAATTTTCAAATACAAACTGTATAATGATATATTATGTATTGATATTTAGTAACCAATTACATGGTAACAAACAATTGTATGATGGTTATGATATATAACACAGTTATCTGTACATCTATATATGCCTGATTATCTAATTAGTAAGAGCTATGTCACAACTTTATTGTATCAAAGTTGAGGGGCAAACTTACATTTTGTCTCAATATTCCTGCAGGATGTTATGCCAGTATACCAGGATAATAATGTTGTAACCCACTGTATGTAAATTCTATCTAGCCTGTAATTATCGAATGTTTTTAAGTCCAACTATGACACTCATGACCGGGAGTTCCCTGTCAATGGGGGCAAGAAAGACACTAGTTTAAACTTTGTCCTAATCCAAAATTTTGTTTTAAAAAAAGCATTTAGAAACAAATTTGTATGCAGCATTATCACCCAGTTTTACAGAAAAGGAAGGGCTAAGTTTTATTCTCATCTAGCTAACAAACAATAATATATAAAGTTTACCTTGTTGTGAGATTTGTCAATCCCAGCACACCTGGACTTTCTGCTAAAGGGGTTATTAAAAATTGATGTGGATGGAAGGAAATAGAATTTTGATCCCGTCCGAAAATCACGATAGGTAGGGGTTGAGCTTACATCTGGTTACATATTGACTCAAATAAAATTGTCTTAAAAGTGCATAAAAATAAGTGTATATTGTATCGCAAGGTATTGCAAATATTTTGTAAATTTCATTGTTGGAAAACAAGATAATGATATAGGTATTTTTTATGGAACACTTAACACTAAACTCAAAATTGAAAAATGTATTTGGTATTTTAAAATCCTTTGATCTTGTATTCTCTCACTCGTTTTGCTGAAGGTGTACTGCAATGGACATTAATTTGTCTTTCCAACCATATTTTTCATTTCATATTTGCAGGGCAGTCATGTCTGATTTTGTTTTATATTAAACCTACTAAACATGGAATTTGTTTTATTCCACTGTTTAAACATATTGATAGTTTAATCAATATTTGATTGGTTGAGACTATCCCACGTGTCATTGAACAAATCTTCATATTCCATTTTGAGGATCATATTCCCCTCTCAAATGTCGGGATTACTTCGTGCGACTTTACGCGCGGTTAATGTACATAACGTTTTGAACTTCTTATTCTTCTTAAAATAGCGATAGCAAAAATCATTATCATGTTCAAATTTATTTCAGACAATAAAACAAAAAGACTTATAATTAAATTTTGATCCTTACTGTTTATCAATGGGTATGTCGTGTTTAGTTTGACTTACAAAAACAAGCGGATAAGAAAAAAAAATGTATGCTAAATAATATTTAATGTATTGATAGTAAACAAAGCATAGGCAGTGGAATAAAACATTCATTTCCCTTTGCCTCGGGAGATATGAAGATTTGCTCACCCTCGAAAAATCATATTTCCCTCGGGCAGAGCCCTCATGAAATATGAATATTTTTGGGTGAACAAATCTTCATATCTCCCTCCGGCATGGGAAATAAATGTATATTGTTACATTATTCTCAGCTTCCGTTTTTAGGAATAATTTTGATACTTGGTCTGGAAATTTATATTGTGTTTAACTGTGTAAGGTATTTCATACATGTATCTACCGTGCAGTCATTTCCTATATCAGGATACCTTTAGTTTTTATTATATCCACCGATCATGAAATTTTTAGTTACAAAATACTCAGCTTTAGGTGTGAATTTATATTTTGTCTGAAACAGTCTAATCACAAATTGTACCTTTTAAGTACTTTTCTGATATCTTTATTATACCAATAAAATTTCCCATCAGTTTGTAATTACTAGTGGAGTATACTTAGCACAATATAGCTTGCAACCTATTGTTAAAATACACAAATACATTTTTTCAATTGATTAAAATAAAGAATTTGACTCTTAAGGACTTTTATTGTTTGGAATGCTAGTTTCATGTCATAAGTGGTCATGATTCCTATTGATTTTCCACCTTTACCTATTAAGGACTTAAAATAATTGGTTACAGAATTTAGAAATTGATACTTTTCATTAAAACTGTTTTTATACTTAACTTTCTTGTAGTTTTTGGCACTTACCAAACCTAAACTTTTCATCCTTTTTTTAAATTGTTATAATCACTGCATGAATTGACTCCTATAGCACATTTTTTCATTATAAGTAGAAAATAGCTTGATTTTATAACAATGTTTTTTACATGAGTAATAATATGTCTGTGATGTTTTGTAAAAAAATAAATTGTACATTTCTATTTTGTTACCGTTTTATTTGTTATAATAAACTATATATTGTTTGTACTTAAAAAGTATTAAAAATAATTTTGCAAATAAAATTTTTAACTCTGTATGTCTGTATTTTTCTCTCTTTTCAAAGTTGTCTTATTCAAAAGTCTCTACATGTATCAGGTTTTTGTCTCGCCTTGACGGAGTCAAAAAGCGAGACATGGGTATGCTGTTTCTGGCATTGGTGGCGGCGGCAACAATGTATTAGTTTGTGATTAGGTCTAGTTCATGGTGAACCACTTGCGGTAGGTCAATGATATTTGGTATGCAGTTGTATTAGCATTGGCACATCTCATTACCATAGAGATTATTTGGCCCAGCCCCCTCAGTCAAGGTCTATTGACTTGGAAACTTTTCATAGTTTACATGTATTAGTTTGTGATTAGGTCAATTTATGGGGAACCACAAGTGGTAGGTCAATGATATTTGGTATGCAGTTGTATAAGCATGGGCATATCTAATTTCCATGGAGATTATTTGGCTCCGCCCCCTTAGTCATGAGCTATAGACTTTGAAAATTTTGCTAAGTTAACATGTATTAGTTTGTGATTAGGTCATTACAAGGGGAACCATTAGTGGTAGGTCAATGTTAATTGGTGTTCAGTTGTATAAGCATTAGCACATCTCATTTCCATGGAGAATATTTGGCCCCGCCCCCTCAGTCATGGTCTATTTACTTTGAAACTTTTGCTTAGTTTACATGTATTAGTTTGTGATTAGATCAGTTTAAGATGAACTGCTAATGTTAAGTCAATGATATTTGGTATGCAAATTTATTGGCATTTGCAAGTATTGTTTCCATGGAGATTATATAGCCCCACCCCTGATCATGGTTCATTGACTTTGAAACTTTTACATATTTTACAAGTTAATGTTTGTGTTTAGGTTTGTTTAAAGGGAATGACTTATAATAAGTCAATGGTATTTGGTATGCAGTTGTATTAGCATTGGCACATCTCATACTATGGAGATTGTTTAGCCATGTACCTTCAGTCATGGTTCATCGACTTTGAATATTTGCATAACTTACATGTTAAAGTATTGCTATTTTAATTTCAACATTTGCATTATCAAAATTACAAAAAGGCGAGACATATCTCTGTGATAACAGTTTATTAGTAGTAGTATTAATTTCTTCAGTCTCTCACTTTCCTGACATGATTGGGTTGTATCTCAAAATCCTCAAAAAGTTCCAGGAAGTATTAAAGTCATATAAAAATAAGGAGATGAGGTATGATTGCCAATGAGACAACTATCCACCAAAGTTCAAATGAAGTGGATGTATGCAATTATAGGGAACCGTACGGCCTTCAACAAGTTATAGTTACCAAATCACAAAGTGATTGGCTATGTGTAGATACACCATAGAAGGGACTAAATTCCACGAGAAAGCTTTGCTTTCGAGTGAAATTTAGTCCATCCTATGGTGTATCTTCACATAGCCAATCACTTTTTTATTTGGTAAATGACGTGTCAAAGTTCACAACTGATATCATGTGATGAAAAGTGCCTTTCCCGCTGCATTATCAGTCTGAGGGTTTCAGTAGTCTGAAATGGCTGCAAAAATGGAGGTCAGTGACATTGACTTTTTAAACTTTTTCTACAACAGAAAACTTTTCGGGCTCAGAAGTGTGGATGAGCATCGGAATCTGTCCGTGGACCAGTTCGAACTTGGAAATGATCAGACGGGAAGCTATATTTTATTCAAGGGAAGAGCCAAGAAAATGTACTATTGTAAGTTTCATTTTTCTTACAATTTTGTAGTATTTGTGCTTTTATTGTGTATTTCAATTCGTTCTTTTGTGTGTTTGGGTCATCAACACTTGACTAACGGTTTTCAGAAAATCCAGGTGTCTTCATCAAGGTTCGCGCTACAACAGGTGCTTCTTTTATGGAAAACAATAAGGTAAGCACGGGTATATTGTGTCGTGTGTTACATGCTTATTACATTTTATCCAATCCAGGCCAAATAAAATTGTTTTATATTTCAATAATCAGTTTTGTTCAATGTATGATTTTTATGTCACTGAATGTCAATACTTCATTTTTTTTCAGGTGGACTCAAATCTGTGGAACTTAGTGCCGAAATCTTAAAACACTACCTTCAAAACCCTGTACTTTTCAAGATTTATGAACAGTATTTTAATATTG